ACAACACTTGGACTTTACCACCTGATGTTTAAATGCCAGGCAAGAGTTTGGTGGAGCGGGTTCTCTTGTGGCTCCTGTACTTCAGTTCTTTCTACAAGGAGTGCTGTGCTCAGTGCCAGAGGGATTTTACAGATGGGAAGGCTAAAGGCTCAGTTAACGAGGGTTCTGTCAGAACTGTACGAACGGCTGTGAGTACCTATCAGACAACACAAGAGGAAGGAAAGGAAACTTTACTGATAATATGGACCCTCACCAGCCACGTGCTGCCTCGACATCTTGTTCTCTTCATGCTGTAAAGAAGTTCCATGCTGTCCTCTCCTGTTTAGTGAGGAATTACTCAGCACAGAGGGACATGAAGGCACGGTGGGGCTGCTGAAAGGTGCGGCTTTGCTCCTGGCAACGGGCACGTTCTCTGGATTATCTGTCAACTATCACTTTCCACAAGGAAACCAGCTTGCTTTAATTTTTGGCAAAGGAACTAGTGGGAGATCTGGCCAGGGTTGTGTATGAGACTGCCACTAAATTCAGAAGGGATTTTGATAAACTGGAGGATCTTGCTCATTTGTTGCTGATTTCTCTAGAAAAGAGAACTCTTTCTCTGGAAAGAGGTGTCTTAGCTTATTCCCAAAGTTTGGAAAATAAATTATTAAAATGTCTATCAATTTACGTCTCTCAGCCCTTTGAATATTCATTTATTTCTATGGCAGATACTGTAGTGATAAGCCAAAAGACATTTCATAGCTAACATACTTGAGTGTTTTATTCTTTTAATCAACTGGTTTAATTCAAACAGTAGGTTGAAAGTACAGAATTATGCCAGGAGCTTTTGAAAATGAGTGAAAAAAGTGCAGTGAATGTGCATCTAATTGTTCAAAAAATGTTTTGTTCATTTTTTCTCATTAGGGCCTAACTCCAGTTTACTGAGGTGGTGGCTTTAATGCTATGTTAAGACATTCTTTTCAACTGAAACATACATTTTTCCAACTCTTTTAATTCCTTGATAAAATACTTGCTTCCTTACCTCTCCTACTGAATTAGACAATGCTTGTACAATCTTCTCATGAGCTGTAGCAACGACGCTTTGGCCATTGATCTCGATAATACGATGTCCTACCCTGACCCCTCCCCTCTCTGCTATTCCACCTCGCATCAAGCTGCAAATCTGCCAAGAGAAAGCAAAGTTTACTGAAGGTCAGAAATATCATAATGTAACAGTTACTGGGATTTAATACATAATAAAAAATGGTGACACCGTAAGGATTCCAGAGGATGCCTGTAGAAAGTATTCATCAATACTGTGACTTTTTAAATGTTGGGCTACTGGCTTGTTAGGGTTTGGTTTATTTTCAAGATTTCTGCTAATTACAATTTTCATTTTCATTCTCTTGGGCTGAGAACATAAAAATATCTATCACAGTGACACAGGTAGTAGCCCTGCAATAGTGGGGAAAAGTTTTATCCGCTGCTGGAACAGAAGAAAGTGATTTTTAAATATTTCTGACTGTATACTGGAAAACATAAAAAATGATAAAGTAAAATCTAACCTACAACAGCAATTTTTTTCACATGGAAAAAAATTATGACATAAAGCTTAATCCTTAACCCTGTGCAAATGCAGGCTTAGGCTGAAGGAAACTGGCATACAGACATTCTATCCTGAAAGCTGGAGGTCTGTCAAAAGGGTCACAAAGACATAAGGAAGATACAAGGAAAGATCTACCTCAAAGATCTAAAGAAGAAATTTTTTATGATGAGGGTGGTGAGGCCCTGGCCCAGGTTTCCCAGAGAAGCTGTGGCTGCTCCATCCCTGGCAGTGTCCAAGGCCAGGCTGGACGGGGCTTGGAGCAACCTGGGCTAGTGGAAGGTGTCCCTGCCCATGGCAGGGGGTGGAACAAGGTGATCTTCATGGTCCCTTTCAACCCAAATCATTCTATGAGTCTATGAAATGTGCAAATTCTGTTTCTTTTTACAGGCTGCCCTCAGCATAGTGAAGTATGACATCTTGTTTCCTGGGCCTCTGCAGAATGGAAATGGGGCTCTGCTCTCCAGGGTCACTGCTTTCCTCCACAACCATGGGGAGCTCAGGAGGAAGAAGGCAAGTTAGGCCACTCTCAGCTGGCAGCTGAGAAGTGTTGAATTTTATGCCCTGTACAACAGGGTAATAATTCTACAAGAAGAGTTACATTCACCAGACACAAGTCCCAGCAGACACTTCTACTTAAATTATTCTGAGGTTGCAATGTGTGTAGTGTGCAGGCAGAAAGAAAAATCTCATCCAGTATGAGGAATTTAAAAGACTGTTCCCTCCTCAGCAGTGGTATCTGTGCTGCAACAGGATCCTCCCTGGCACACTGGACAGATGTGTATTAGACAGAAATTGTTGGTAAATTACTTAAGAAGACTAAGCTCATGCATCACATAAGGCATATAATGTATAGCTTGAGTCTCTGGAACTAAGCAGAGTTTAGCAGTGCTGAGATTTATCTTTTGTTTACCGAGAAAAACCTATTCTCGAAGGGAAAGAAATGAGTGCTGGAGGATCCAATAATGGATGTTTCTGCAGTTACTGTCAATGATTAGAATTATATCCCAAGAATTATGCTTTGCGGTCATTTGCTCAGAGCTAAACACAAGTATAAGATGTGGCTTGTGTCCCAGTGAGTTTGTAATCTAATTCAGAAACACAGGATGTGGGGAGATGGCCAATCTGGAATGTATTGAAGGTGAAACATTTTCTATAGTTGACTGGAATCCTTTTCTGTATGTCATTAGTAGTTTTCTTTAAATTCCTCTTCACAAATAACAATGCTATAAAAAATTAAATCCCTGCTTATTCCAAGTTCAGACTGATATGGGGAGTAAAAGATAGTTATTCTTCATTTATAAAAAGCTTTTCTCAGCATTCAGGAAAAAAACATTCCTCCTGCAGTGAGATTTATTTTCCACTGTGCCATCTCTAGTGGCTGAGTGTTACCTACTGTGGTTCATAAAGTATTTCTGATGAGCTCCTATGGATAGAGGCACCGTCAGACCCTTCACAGAACCGTGTCCTGAATTTCAGTCACATACAATATATTGTTTTGCAGTCCACCTTCTAATCATATACCTAACAAGACACACTACTACACAGATCTTCTCTTTTACAGAAAGCTCAGTTCATCACTGTGAGAACAGCAGTTCACTCCTTGCTTTTGGGGAATGTGTGTAGTAATCAGAAAGGACAAAAAGTAGCATGTACCAAAAGAAACACTGTAAATATATTTTGCATTGTATAAATGAATATAGAGACAGTACAACCAGCTGAAATAAAAGCTTTTGGAGCAAATGGAAACGTGACCCCTCACCCCACTGGCATAAAGCAAAAGATAATGGCTTGCATATCTATGCAGAACACCTTTCACTGTGTGGCTCTCAGAGCACTTTTAATACCATCTCTTTAATACCACCAGTGAGTTTCTTCTTTCTATCAGCCTCGGACACAGAAAGTGGTCTTCTCATTCAAGAATATGATCCCTCTCCAGGGAAGGCAGTCAGCTTCCTTTTTGTGAGCATTAACTCTTTGAATGAGGTCGAAGGAGAAGCAGCCACAGGCTGATGGCTCTGCCCAGCCTGTCAGGGCCTGGAAAGCTGCAGCCAGAGAGCACGTGGGCACAAACACACTGTACCACAGCACGCATTTACCTGGCTCCTGGATTTGCAATGAGCTAACTCAAAGTAACCTTCAGTCTTTTGTCTCCAGCCAGTGGAGCTTATGGCACATCAGGCTGACAAGTTTAAACTGAGCAGTACCACTAAGTAAATATGCTTTTATTCAGCCAGGACTCTTTAACATGCTCTGTTTGTTGAACATGGCAACAGCTGTAATATTATTAGATAAAGCAAGACAGATCTGGATCTTCTTGTAAGCAAGAGTCTATCCTCTATTGACTGTGTAAACTGAAGGAAATAAAAATTAAAAAAGAAGAAGAAAAAGAAAGGTTTAAACCATACTGGTTCAATCTATTCAGCTATTACAATGGCTTAGACAAGCTGCAAAGCATCAGATGTGAAACTTCAGCAGCTTCAGTTTTATTGCAACTGTCCATCATGTAGCAAAGCATAAAGGATAAAATAGTGCTGGGCAAACTGTTTATCCTCTGTAAATGCCTTAACTATAACCTATTAAACCAGGTTTCTCCCCATCTCACTCCTATATCATACTATTTAAACCCTGTAAATTGTTTCTCCAGTTTAAATTATAATAAACAAAGGCAGGGAAGAAAGAATGAACTGTTCTGTCAAGTTTTACCTAGTTTTACCATATTTTTATACAGAATTGTGCTAGGCTAGGAACAGAATAGATATGCTTCTTAGAGAAAGAAGATCTCTAAGAGAAGTCTGAGATCTGGACTGAGAAATGGTGCTTTATCAGCATTAAAAATACAACTGGTAATACACAGATTTTTCATAATCTAGGAAACCATAATGTGATACAAGATGACCACTTGTATGTAAGTAACATTTTAAAAGAAGTGTAGCATAATGATTTTCAGAAAGTGACTGATAGGTCATTCTATGTTCACCTCCCTATCACACAACAGTCATACTTGTTTCATATGTATGCACAATATTTCTTTTCCTTAGTACTTTACAGTTCAAACTTTAGATTCTTTTTTATAACTATGCAACAAAATTACATCGGTAACTTTCAAGAGCCATTAAGAGAATTTGCATCATCAGTACAAGAGAACTTTTGCAAAATTAACATTCTGATTTACGCTGTTGTGCTGTTCCCTAACTAGAACTTCCAAAAGCTGGCACTACTAGTGCTCCATGGAGCACAACTTCAGGCTTTGCATTAATTAAACTGTACACAATATAGAAAAACCAGTCACCTGCAGCAGTCCAATGTCTGCATCTGCCTGATATCCTATGCAGGCAAAACAGCTCAGATGGTGCTTTTGTGTGTCCAGGTTACTTATGGGCTACTCCCTAATACAATAGCTGTACATCCTGCACAGATGAGATAGGCAGGGTGAAAAAGCTGCTCTCAGAGGATGCACAGAAACAAGTCCCAGCTGCATGGATAATGAGGTAATGGCATACCAGTAAGAGACATTTAATTATATCCATTCTGGCAAGCCATTTATTTCTTTGCTGTGCTAATGCTGAGCCAATGAAGAATAACGATATTATCATTTCTGAATCCTATCATAATTTGTAACAATTGCTGGCAATTACAAAACTACTCTTAAAAAGTTCAGTGCCAAACTGCAAGAGAGATACTTTGCAGAGCCATATTTTCACATGTTAAGTAGAGGGAGTTTATCAGAGGAAGAATTTTACAGGCTCAGATGCTTGTCTATATAGCAGCCTAGTAAAAGATGTTAATCTCCACTTTTTGTTCATTGATTTTTATATTCAAACATAGACTTTTCATAAAGGAAATGCATTACAAGGCTTTGTTTTTTTAATCTGAAAATTATTTTAATGCAGAATTTAGTGAACTTTATATTGGGTGTCATCTAAGTGTCACTCATTTAACTGGAATTAATGATGATCCTCTAGGGTGGTGACTAAGACAAACAGCCAGCAGATGGAGGGAGCAGACTGGGACAGAAAGCAACCAAAGTCTGCAGAATTTACTGAACTGAGACTCCAATTATGTAAGAGATGATTAGCTGGGACAAGATGAATAGGTTGTGTCACGGACTCCATAACTGTCTATTCCATGGGAGGATGTGGATGCTTCTAATCCACCCTGGCCTGATTCTTTTCCACAGCCCTGACCCAACCCCCACCAATGCTGAGAACGGGCTTCTAGAGACTTGATAAATGCACACAGTGAGAATTACAGGTCCTGGAATATATTGTCTTTGTACCACAGCACCAGCTGAACACACAAGATTTACAAAGGCTAGCAATTAGAAATCAGTGCCTCATGCAGTGTTATGTGGCACCCTCTGTGAGATCACGTAAAACCAGATCCCATTCCTTTCATCCTTCTTATGTCAAGACTTGGGCTTTGCTAACACAGAGTGAGCTACCAGCAATAATCATACCCACTTAATATACACAGAGGCGAAAGGGGATTAAGCACAGGCAGAGGGGACAGAAATACACCACACACCTGATTTTTCTCCACTCAAGCATCAAGAGCATTTATACCAAACAAGACAAATACTCTAAACCTCCATTTCTAAAGGATGTTAACCTGGGGTAGGTATCACTTTGGAGTGCTTCCAGCTGGACCAAGGCTTGCGGTGGTGTTCTTTATACCAATCTTTGCTGACCACAAGGTAATGTGGGATCTTAGGTACAGTAATAACTTAGAGATGACCAGCAGAGCTGAAAACCCCCTCCTGAGCCATCCACAGCTGAAGTGCAGTAAGACCCATAAACCATGTCCTGTAGAGTTACCTGCTACTCTTCTAAGCGTGGCAAACAGAAATCTGGCAACTTCAACTGAGGAGTTTCCCAGAGCAGGGGAGTAGAGCCCACAGTACTTTGGGATGTGTTTTTCTGTGTGAGCAGCCTGACTATTTTTTTTCCTAGACTGGAGGAAGAGGAAATGGTGATGGTCCTGCACTACAGACTATCTCTAAGGCTAATATCAGCCCCCAGAAAGGCCATGGACTGCCTGAGCTAGTTGTGTGGGGAGTTTGCTTTAGAAAGATATTGGGGAAGGGCTTGGGAAGGAAGAACTACAAGAGGAGGACCCTGAGCTGCACAGGGTAAGTGTTACCTGCCACATTTGTTCTGTTTGCTGCTATCATTACAGGGAAGCTCAGCATGCAGAGAAGGGATACCTGGGCCACAACCTATACAATTACTTGTAGTGAGAGGTGTTTAGTTTTAACAAGAGGAGGTCACAATTACATTCCCTTGCCTACTACCCTGTGCTCCAAATAAATTAGGTACAGCAGAAGAAAAATTAGAAATCTTAGTGAGTGTGTGCTGAAATTTTTTAAAAAAAGAAACAGGATCAGAGCTAAGATTAGAATGTCTTAATTGTAAAAACCTGTTCCAACCTAACTTTTCCTTGCAACTCTGGCACACTCATGACAGTTAGACATGAATTAGCTGATCCAGATGTTGCACCAAACAATCTGGACTATAAATCTTGTGGCTGTATTATACAGGAAAATCCCTCAAGAATGTTCTCCCTGTGTTGTCCTTACTCAGAGATGTCATTATAAGGTTTTAATAAAGGGATCACAGTACAAGAGGTGAGGTTGTGCAAAATTTTTTTTCAGTACTTCAGTGTGCTTCTTGAAAGAAAAAAAAAGGAAAGGGAAAAAAACAAACCAGTGATTGAACACAGAAACTTACAATTCCATTCTGTACACTGAAGCCCAGCTGGTATTTTAAGTCTGGCCGTTTTATAAGGACAGTAGTAACAGGAGGGCAGCTGACAATATTCAGTTTGACTTGTGTTTGATTCTTGAGTCCCTGTAAGAAATTCCAAAAGTTAATATTTCTGAAATGGATCTTAATTTTCTCTCATTTGTGATTTCCTAATTGCAAGAGTGTAAAGCAGCTAATTTGAGAAAGAACAGCTAGAGTTAGTAGAAATTTGTTGTTAACTTAAGAGATAGATTTCTCTTATTTCATTTATTTCCCAAGATATTTGGCCCCCCAAAAATCAAAATTTTGCCTTTAATTACTACAAAAATTTGAAGACAGTTATCAACAAAAACTAAAACTGACTACTGCTTGCCTGACTACTACTACATCTGGCTAATTAATCTCCTGTTGCTGCTCTTGGTAAATCTGCACAGACATCAGATTTAGTCTCCATGACTAAAGATAATGCATTCTGAGATTCCATTGTGTCTGGACAACCTTCATATACTCGATCAGTCCTGCAGTCTACCAGCCTCCATCCATTTTATCTGCACGGAGCCCAAAAAAGCATAGGAGATTTTAATCCTCAGATTTTATTCTGGAGGCTGTGGGGAAGCCTGAAGCTTTGAAGACAGCTAAGTAACTTAATTTAGGCAGACCTGGCCTCATTTGTTATAGCCCAGGAAGAAAGCTGCAGTATTACTCTTCAGCCCTAAATTTCTGTACATTATCACCCCTGAATCTCTGTTTTTAATTCTGGGGTTTTTTTTAATGACAGATTTACTGGGGTTTTTTTGCAGTGATATGAAAGACTGTATCTGCTGGAAATCTACAGGATCACTTGTCAGAAGATTACATTTCTGATGGCTTACAATCTACAGCATAAAATTGTAAGTTTGGGGGTACCTTTATGATCCCTTGGCATGTTGCAAGAGGTAGGCCAACTAAACTGGTACCATTAATGGACATAATCTGGTCTCCAATGCTTAGTTTTCCTGAACGGGCTGCAGGGCCTCCATTCATCATGTTAGCCAGGATAACGGTGGGTAGAATGGATCCCCATCCAGATTCCACAATCACTACCCCAAGAATTTCTCCCTTCTGTTTTTCTATCTGGAGCTGCAATTAAAAAGAAAAAAAAAATTTTTTGCTTTGATTTGTCTAAATTTGAGCATGACTATCTCAGTTGTTCCTGAATAACATCTACAAATCACAAAATGGACGCTATTCTTTGTAGCAGGACTTCAAAAACACTGTTAAAACTGTGTAACGCATACCTATTTCTTTTCAGGGTTATACCAATTTGTTGCAGGTCCTATAAGTCCTTATGGTAAGTAAAACACATATTGGTTAACTCTATAGGAAATGGTGGAACTGGATACCAAGTGAATGAATGCTGAAGAAGTTTCTGTCCTTGGAACCTGGCAGCCAGAGGGCTTGTGTTCAGCTCCACTCCTGCCATTTCTGCTCAGGTTGTCTCTCCATCTCAGGGTTTGTCTGTCCTTCTTCTCAGGCAAGGATCTCTTGATGATTATTATTAACATTATTATTATTAACGTTACTGAATATACTTGTGCCTAGCACGTTAATGTTAGATCCCTGATGGAATGGAAAGGAGGACTTCACCTGAAGTATGGTGATGTCAACTGTTCCATAACCACAGCATATCTAACATTTATAGAAGTGGAGTAAGAGTTTCCATAGAGAACACACTCTTTAACAAAATACTGGGAATTATTTTCTTTCAAATGTGGAAGGAGAGGGACACCCCTACTTACAGGAATCATGATGACCAGCTGTCTTTTGTTGAGACTTGATTAAGGCTTTGAACCAACCAGCATCCCACAACGCTGTTGTCTCTCTTTCCATACCAATACTTTGGTAAAACTTAAAATAACCTTACACTGTGTACTGTGAATAGTACAGACCTTATCTACATCACATGTAAATGCACTTTATTACTGTTCTGATCAATGGGAAAAGAAAGGCCCTGAAAATGAAAACACGAAATTCTAATAACTTATAAAACTGATTTTCGTAACATAGTACTGATGAAGCCACACATCTTGAAATTCTAACGTCGTCCTTATAATGCCAAATCATATTTCTGAGAACGACATTCCTCTGGAAAAAAATGGATCAATCTGAAATGAAATTCCAAAACTAGTTTACCTCTTTGCAGTTTTCTGAATTGGAGAAGTGTATGAGATCATCATTGTACATCTCCTGGGTATTGATGATGTCACTGTATTCTTTCTGACTGAGATCCTCTGGGTTAATTCCATTGGCTCTTAAAAACTCTTGGTAAGCCACACTGAAAGCCTGCCCAATGGACTGAGCAATCAGCTGTGCCTGCAATGGAGAACACATCACAGCTCAGAGAAAGGGTGGAGAAACAGTTTACCACAAAAACACGAGAAACCAGGAGAGAGACTGGAATTTAAAACACTCAAAATAAAGGATTCTGCAAAGTTTCTGCCTTAGCATGGATATAAAGTCCCTTTAAGGTCTGTCGTATGTAAAGCATCCATTACATCCAAAATCAAATTGCAAACTCCATTTAAAACCCCTGCTGATCTCCTTCATGAGTATGTGTCAGTAGCAAGCAGCCATATGCTGTCCATGTACTCCTTCCAATAAACACTGGCTTTGTACCAACATGGAACAGAGCTCACGGAAAGGACTGTCACAAACCCTGCTTCTGAACACAGTCTGTTTGCAGGAGTGATGAGAGAAGGGATGCTCTGCTCTCACATGCCTTCACAGACCTGTGCACTGATGATTTTGGTTGTCGTGTTGCCTGCTGTTTTTGCACCTTGGTTTTATAGGACTGAAAACACAGCTTGAATAGAACCATCTGCTCTCCTATCACTGCCACTGTCTCCTATTCCCAGCAAACCAGTTCCACCTCTACTTCCCCACTGCACATCTAGAAGAGCCATTCCCATTAACACCTCAACTGGCAATGTCAGGGATGATTTCAAGAGTGCAGCCAGAGTCATGATTATTGCTTGCTAATGTTGAGAACACCTTTCCAAAATACCCCATCTTTCTTAAATTTTGGAGCACTTATCTGCATATTCCACTAGATGGCAAGGGAACACAGAGCAACAGAGGTAGAGATCAGGAAAAAGAATCTGTAGTCCAGTTTTTCCACACCTGAATTATTTTTTACTGCAGCTCACAAGAGAATGCCACATTGAGTTTTGTATATTTGTGGGTTTTGGGTACTGAATTCTGTCATCCAGGATATGAGTAACTCCTAGTGACAGGAGAAGAAGTTAATTGCATCTCACAATGGAATTCCATAAAAACATTACTAATCAAACCCTTATTCTGGAAATGCAACACACCTTCTTAGACAGAAGGTACATGCTAAATGCATAGGGTTTTCTGGACAACATTATAAATCTGTATCTTCTTACAATCTACTCATCGGGTGTTTTCTTTGATGCTAGAAGGTGGTTTTACTATTTCATTTGTGCTGCAATGCACAAAAGCACCAGTCTGTCTGACTGGAAAATTATTTTAGAAAATCAAGGACATAAATAGCCTAGCCAGTCACAAATTGTTTTTTCATCTTTTAAAACGTTTTAAAATTTTATCACTATACCAAGAGGTTGGTGGTAATATGGTGGCACAGAAATAATCCAGAACATTTTCATATCATTCCATTAGTAAAGTTTATCACCAGTCCTTATTGACTTCTTTCAATCTCCAGTGCCATTGCTTTCTCTGTACTTAGTCCTTTGCATTTGCCTCCATTCTACATTCTCAAAACCAGCATCTCCAGATGTCATACTTTATTCTGTTACTCCTACTAACAGCTAGTTCTCACATCTTAATTTCATCTGTATCTCCAAGGTCTTGTGGCTGGTTATGAAAGTCTTCAGTATTATGCACAACTTAGAGATAAGGTAATCAAGTTGCTTGAATAGGCCACCCCAGCAGAGCAGTGACAGAGCTGAGATAACCAGGTCTCAGAACAACTCCAGTCTAGCACTCTAACCTTTAGACAATTCCACTTCTCCTTCACAGGCTTAATTACTTTAAAATAATGAAAATGATTGCTTAGCTCAAAAATATGCAACCTGTGAGTTATGACTATCTGAACCACAGAACTCAATTATTTTTAAATGGTATGACAGAAATTATATTTAAATCTGTTCCCATATAATAACGATGAGAAATGTTTAGTATTGCCTCTTAGTGTCAAGTTAGAAACAGATAACAAATTTTGCTCTTTCCATTTTACTAAGCTTAGTATATTTTTCCAAAAACATTTCAGGTTGAAGTCCCCTGGTCTCCCACTTCAGACACAAGTATCAACTTTGCTACAAAACCAAACCTGCATATATAACAGCAGTAAAGCAGGGTCATCTTCCTTTGCCACAAGAGGAATGGGATGGCACGTCAGGGCTTTTCACAGCGGTGAAACAGGATGTACAGCAGAGATGGACAGAACTCTTTTGCAACCACTACCTCTGCAATCCTGTTTTGAGAATGGCTCCAGGTTCTTTCACCTTTTAGTATTTCTGATGCAAATGAAAATTAGAACATAAATTCTGAAGTGGTCACTTCTTTCTTTGAACAGACTTTTAACAAAAAAGTGGGTTAGGGCTAAGACAGCATTGGACCTCAGAGTATCTTATGGCATAAAATGACTAAAATTATGTTTGCTATTGTATAGAAGTACTAAGGGTAGTGAGAGTAATGCCCATGAAGAAATATTTCTATAAATACTGAGAACAAAAGTATCTCAGCTCTACCTTCCAGTACCTGAAGGGAGCTTACAGGAAAGATGGAGAGAGACTTTTGACAAGGCATGTAGTGACAAGGCAAACAGAGTAGGTTTAGATTATATATTAGGAAGAAATTCTTTACTGTGAGGGTGGTGAGGCCCTGGCACAGGTTGCCCAGAGAAGCTGTAGCTGCCCCATCCCTGGAAGTGTTCAAGGTCAGGTTGGATAGAATTCTGAGCAACCTGATGTAGTGGAAAGAGTCCCTGCCTGTGGCAGGGAGATTGGAACTAGACGATCTTTAAGGTCCCTTCCGACCCAAGCCATTCTATGATTCTATGTAAAAATTCTAATTCATAATCTTTGCTAGGGGTGGAAAAAAGAGAACTGAAAAATAAACAGCTGAATGTGTTCTTAAACATCAAAGGATCAAGTGTCATGTTTAAGAGTATGATATCAACTAGAGGTAAATAAGCCATAGGGAATAAGGACAGGGTAAAGGACAGCCTTGTTCCAGGCCTGCCAAGTTAATGTTCTCAGAAATTTGGCTTCAGTTTGAAAGAGGTCCAAAATGGTTCCACCTCATGCCAAGATTCTGGAGGCATATATGTGTCTTTATGTGCCAACCTGCTGGACTAAGGGCAGGGTCATCTAATCCAGGATGAATGAACAATTTGACATCCCATAAATTAATTCTGACTTCAGAGATTCTCTACATGACATATGTTATTTAAATAAATTTAATTCCATTTACTTACATCCTCTGATTCAAAGACATGGCAAATCATCTTGTACTGCTTCTTTCCTTCCTGGGCCCCGGGAGTTGTTTCAATGCAGTCTTGGGAAGCCGACCTTGGCATGCGGCGCCGCGCCATGAGCACCACGATGTTGCCGATGTCGGCGATGTAGGAGATGGTGCGCAGCGCGTGGTCCATCATCGTCTCCTGCCAGGAGAAAGAAAGGAGGTTTTCTCCTGTGCTACAAATACTGCATCTTCCCTCTCCTTGATGGCCTGTTGCCTGAGAATGACAAAAGCTCCAGAAGCACTTTCTGTGGGCCCAGACCTGATATTCCCTACGCAGTTGGATGGGCCCGAACTCCCCATGGAAGGCACAGTGGCTGTTCACGGCTTCAATGGAAGTGTTGCACCAGGAAATACAGTGTGGTTGTTACTGTAAAGCAATAATGAAGAACTATACTACTAAATATTTTCATGCTGTTGAAAAATTCTGTTTCCCTCTTTTATTGGTTTTGCTGAATGAAACAGATGCATGTCACAATGACAGAACAAGTTTTACAAAAATCATAGATATTATTGCTATTATAGGATATGATTTAAACACCCAGGACATTATAACATCTCTTATCTCTAAGGTAACATTTTCTCATATAAAGCAAAGCAATACTTCCTTTGTAAAGAGCTATGAAGGCAGTATTTCACCTTCTCTGTAGGCAGAACTCCTAACACTTTTTTTGGCTACCTACATATCTCAGACCAGCTTGGAGGAACTGCTATAGTGTCTTGGCTTACAGTCAAAATCCTATTCCAGTCACTCTCATTATGCTGCCCATTTGGAAGAACTCAGCTCAGAAGCCATTGCCTGTGAGAATGATTTTAAGCGAAAACCTCTCTAAGCTTTATCCTAATGAACATTGCTCATGTAAGTACACCTAAAGAGTACTAAATTTAAAAAGCTTCTGTCTCAAATCCCTGAGCTGTGCATCTTT